TGCTCACATTTGCATCTACACATCTAACTTAGGGCCTGGCCCTAGGCTGGTAAATGACTGAAGGAATGATAATTCCTGGCTTGCCTCAGCAAGCAGCACCTACCAGCTCTCTCCATGGGGGCTGTGGGAACCCTGGAGTCCACCCTAATAGCCTCACAGAGTCTGAAGGAGGGTCTTTACTTTCTCCCTTCAGGAATAAACTACTGTGCCCTGAACAAACCAGGCTGTGAGCACGAGTGTGTCAACACAGAGGAGGGCCACTACTGCCGCTGCCGTCGGGGCTATACTCTGGACCCCAATGGCAAAACCTGCAGCCGTGAGTATGCCCCAGGGGTATGGGTGCCGATGGGGTGGGGTCCATGCACGTCTGTTGGGCTCATTAGCAGCTGTGTCCTTCTATAGCTTCAGGGTTTCCTGCATTTTATAAACCATCGAATGGTACTGTTAGTACTACCCACTTCAATAATTACGAGACTCAATATGAGGGCTAAAGAGATTGCTTAGTAATTAAGAACACTTGCTGCTCTTATAGAAGACCCAGAGTCCATTCCCAGCACCCACATGGTGGCTCACAACTGTTTGTGAAGATCCAACACCCTCTTCTGACCTCCATGGGCACCAAGGCATACATAGAAGACACATACAGACAGACAGACAAAACTCTGCATACATAACATTAAAGAAGTTAGTGTGTGCCAAGTACAGCAGTGCACGGTTAACAATCTCAGATCTCAGAAGACCAAGGCACAAAGATGAGTTCAAGACCAGCATGGGCTCTGCAGCAAGATATCATCTCAAAAATTCAAAAGAGAACAAGATTGAGAGGGGGTGTTTATAAATAAATAAATAAATAAATACACGTGCGGGGTTGCGGGTGTAGCTCAGTCAGCAGAGTGCTAGCCTTGCATGCACAAAGTCATGGGTTAGATCCCCAGCACCACATAAACCGGGGGAGCGGAGCAGGGAGGGCGTGAACATGTGTAGCCTGCACAGAATGGGGCTGCTGCTATTGTTCTTTGCTACTGAAAGCATTTGCTAAGTCAGATAGGCCGGAATTCGAATTGGAGCTCTCTTGCAGTCTACATATATGACCTGAGACAGGTGATTCTCCAAGCTTTGATTGCCTGTCTGTTTTTACAAAGTGAGGATGTACCGGGCAGGCGGTGGTGGCGCACGCCTTTAATCCCAGCACTTGGGAGGCAGAGGCAAGTGGATCTCTGTGAGTTCGAGGCCAGCCTGGTCTACAATGTGAGTTCCAGGATAGCCAGGACTGTTACACAGAGAAACCTTGTCTCAAAAAACCATAATAAATAAATAAATAATTTTTTTTTTTTTAAAAAAAGTGAGACTGTTAATAGCACTGATTCCCTGGGTGGTTATGGGGAATAACTGGAGCCATTTCAACCCCTTGGCCTTGTGCCTCGTTTGTAGCAAACATACAACTAAAGATAAAAGATAACAGTGAGTATCACCCAGCCTGTGAAAGTGACTGACGCCTGGTACCAGATTGGGACGAGAGGCCAGAGGGGGTGGACCTTGGGAAACTGGACAATGAGGGCAGAACTGGACAGTATGGACTTTTGTAAAGCCTTTACTTAATATCCTTGTCTCAGAACCACAACAAAGCTTGGTGACATAAACACATGGGAACTTTCAGGTCTTGCCAGCTGGATGGGCTCCTAACTTTTTTTTCCCCCGAGGTACGGTCTCCACAGGCCAAAGCCAGCAGGATGAGATTATGTGGGGGCTGTGACGGATCCCGGGGCCCTGGCACACTAAGAGCTGAGGCGGGTGACGTTGGCCTCCCTAGAAGGTCCCTTCGTGTGGCCTTGCACCTCGCATACTGTGCATCTGCTTCAGCTCTGCAGACAGAAGTGGGTTGTCATGGGAACAGTGCAGCTGTTGGACCACATTTGGGCCCTTGACTCTCAGGAGGGCCAGTTTCACAGCTGAAGTATGAGCTACAGAGCCAGCCAGGGGAACCTCCTTCTCCTGTCTTCGGAGGAAGCAAGCCTTGATTTGGCTTTCTGAGCGTGATCCTGACCCTCCCAGCATGGCCTGGTGGTGTTTTTCTGTCAGCTTGGCTGTTGCACCTGAATAGACTGATATTTTAACTGCTGTTTGTGCCCTGTGGCCTGCAGTCAGCACCCCACTGCTCAGACTGTGGCCTGCCGGGATTTCCAGTCCCCCTAACACTGGCTGGGCCACAGTTGTGGCTGCCAAATGTAGGTTTTAACTAAGTCTCTATCATTCTATTTACCAAAAAACTCGGGAGTCATGTGGGGTGAAACCCTGCTGGATCAGAGAAGCCGAGAAGCAACCGCTGACCTTCCTTTCTGTCCACAGACCCAGCAAGAGAGCCTCTCCCGACTGGTCCCAACCCAAAAAACAGTCTCTCTATCCATATTCCTGGGTCTTCTGTACTCTATGGCTAATTCTTGTCAACTCCGCCCTCCCCATCCAAGGTTAATTTTATTAACAGTCTCGGAGTTTCACAGTGCAATGAAATATTTTGCAACAGCACCTTGGGTAGTCTATAAGAGTTCAGATGTGAGCCCAGAAGAGATGGGGGTCTTCCTCTGTTAAAACTTTTAGAAAGTTTAAACCAAGCTGTTTCTGTCTAGAAGTCCCCAGGGAAATCCATGGGGTTCTTAGGCACGATGGCACAGGCTCTTCTGAGTGCTCATTCTGCGGGCACAGTTGTGAGCACCTCCAACATTCTGAGTGCTCACTCTGCGGGCACAGTTGTGAGCACCTCCAACATTCTGAGTGCTCACTCTGCGGGCACAGTTGTGAGCACCTCCAAGATTCCAGCTCTCATGTGCCTCCGGACAGTTCTGCCTGGTAAATGGCAGAATCCAGATGTGAAATGGGTACGTGGCTCCTGAGACACTGCAAGTGTTTTTCAGGTGTGTCTACCAGTGGATTGTTCTAGAAGCCTCTGGCCTTCGGCCACGAAGGAGTGAAAAGGTTTACCTCAGTGGGCCATCATGAGGTCTTCAGTGTCTGGCCAGTTGATGGAGGATGCACTTTCTCCATTCAGTAAATCTGGGAGGCAGTCCAGGGGGCTCTGTGGGAGCCGTCCACCACAGCTGGGTGTTTCCTGGCCTTCGGCGTTCCCTGCCCAAGGACCAGCTGTGGTGTTTGGGTGCCAGAAGGGGCCACACAGGCAGCGAGGCTTTTGTTTATTTTCTGAATTTGGATGTCCTGATTAAGAGAATTTTTAAAAAAAAAAAAAATCACTTCTTTATTTCTCAAATAAAAATAATTCTCTCTGAGCACTACGTAGTCATACTAACAACCATTCGTTAAGCGGTTGCTGTATGCCAGCCACTGTTTGGAGGGCCTTACATGTATCCTTTCCTCTAACTTGACTACATTACGACCAGAAAGGGACCGCCAGGTGCCGGGGAGAAACTCAGTTGGTGAAGTGTTTGCTTTACAAGCCTGGGTCTGAGATCTACCTGCAGAACCCAGGTAGATCACCAGGCATGGTGGCATGTACTTGTCACCTCAGCACCGGGCAGGTGGAAACAGAATGCCCCCCCTCAGCCCACCCCAACCCCATTAGCCAGCCAGTCTAGCCTAATTGTTGGGCTCCAAGCCAATGAGAGAGACCCTGTCTGAAGGAGGTAGACTACATTTCACGAGAATGACAAAATTGTCCTCTGGCCTCTACAAGCATGCTCACACACCTGCATGTATAACCCGTGAACGCAAAAGAAGAAAGGGGACTGCCATCATCTCCAGAGGTGACAGAGAGGTTAAGTCCGTCCAGCATCCGCAGCAAGGATGTGGAAATCAGTGCTGTTCTGTTTGCTTCTCTGTTGCTCTGATAAATGCCATGACCAAAAGCAACTTGGGAAGAAAAGGTTTTATTTCAGCTTACACTTCCATGTCACGGTTTATGACTGAGGGAAGTCAAGGCGGAAACTGAGCCAGAGACCACAGACAACGGTGTTTACTGGCTTGCATCTAAGTTCATATTCAGCTTGTCTTCTTATACAACTCAGGACCACCTTCCCTGGGTGAACACTATTCACAGTGGGCTGTGATCAATCAGCAATCAGGAACATGCCACACATGCCCGCAGGCCAGTTTGATGGAGCAATTCCTCAGATGAGGTTTCCTCTTCCCAAGTGACTCTAGGTTTATGTCAAGGCCGCTGAAGCTAGCTATGACAAGGAACAAGGCTGATTTCCCAGCAAGCCGGGTATCGTGGGGTAGAGTGGAACCTTCCCTGTGGCTGCCGTTGCACCCAGGAAGGCTCTGGGTAGCAGTCCCTTTTGTGAGTGGAGCATTGGCACCTCAGTCCCTTTGTTGTCCTGTGTTTGTGACCAATGCAGGGGTGGATCACTGTGCACAGCAGGACCATGGCTGTGAGCAGCTGTGCCTGAACACGGAGGAATCCTTTGTCTGCCAGTGCTCGGAAGGCTTCCTCATCAACGATGACCTCAAGACCTGCTCCAGTGAGTCCCCTTCCACTTCTGTACTGGGGAGGGGTTTGCACAGGCGTGGAGTGTACAGACAATGCAGAGATCAGCACGTTCTCCGCTGGCCTCCAGGGAGACTGCGGGGAAGTCAGCTGGGGACCAGTGCTTTCAATGGCAGTAAATGTGAACCGTTACTTGATTCCCGTCGCAGCCCAGAGGCCCCCAGGGATCTCACTTGGCTTTGGTTTTACAGGGGTGGATTACTGCTTGCTGAGTGACCATGGTTGTGAATACTCCTGTGTCAACACAGACAGATCCTTTGCCTGTCAGTGTCCTGAGGGTCACGTGCTCCGCAGCGATGGGAAAACGTGTGCAAGTGAGTTCCGTCACATTGAGATCCTGGGACAGACAGGACTCAGCACAGGCCCTGCAGGTGCCAGTGGGCTGCTGACATGTCCTGAGTGTCCTCTGGGTCTGACTGGGCCCCTGGATGTATGTGTGCCTGCATCTCAAAGCCCTTGGGTCCTCGGCCCCAAACTTCCTCCTTGTGCACCTGGAAATGGCTTTGGCGTCTCCACACACTCTGCCTCACTCACCACCATTATGAGAAAGGCCCTCATTCTTGGCATGCTGCTGTGGTTTGTCCATACTGAAATTTATGTTCAAATTTGGTTGCCACTGTGACATGTTTGAGACATGAAACTTTTCCAAGGCAGTTGTGCTGGTGGGAAGGAGTCATGCCTTTCCTGGGGGAGTGGACTGGTTAGAGAGACGGATTCTTGTCAAGTGCCATCAGCCCCTCTGTCCCCACCTCTTCTGTACATAATTCCTCACCTTTGGGCTTTCCCACCATAAGATGAAGTAAAATAAAGCCCTATCCGTGTACAGTGACGTGACAGCAGAGTACAGACACTCCAGCTCTGCCCCCTCGCCAGGCGCGCCTATGACAATACAGGAACGAGCTGCCTGCCAGCTGGCTGCATGCCAGGCCAGGCTGAGCGCCGTGCTGAGCACATGCTCTCACACTCCAGGAACAGCTGGGATAACCGCAGCTCAGACTCAGCGAAGAGTCTGAGATAGCCCTCTCCTAAGTAGGGACTCACTCTCTGAGAGACTCCAGTTAGCTCTGAAAGGGAGATGTCTGAGAAATCTTTCGGCTTCCCTGTCACCTCTCAGCACAGGCCAGGTCGGCAGAGAGATTGTCTAGGAACGTGTTGCCTTGCAGCTGACCCTAGTGCCCATCTCCATTTAAACAAACAACAGCTAAAAGACAAGACTCCAGGCTCCCTCGTCTCTCCAACTCAAGAAAGCCATGTGCTTTCTGCCCTGCATTCCTATTTCCAAGTGGACCAGGATCAAGGACTAAGAGCAGTGTGAGAGAAAGCGTCCAAATGGAAGCAAAGACCGTCCTCTGCTTTCCCTGGCCACTGTCTTTCTGGCTGCAGGACCGAGTCCCTTGGCCGTGGGTACAGCCTGGGTACAGTACTGACACAAACACCTTTTTGTACCGTCGGTTCACACGGGCAGATGAGCTGTCCGCACAGCTGTGCAACACTAACTGTGCTCCTTGTGAGAGAACGCCGTCCCAGTTTGAGATGGATTCTTGGACCTTGGCAAGTAGGCTGTCCATGGGGCCGCTTGCTCGTGGATCCCTGCCCAGCTGCTCGCAGCGTGCTGCCGCGGCCAACGTTAGCAGGGCCTGGGCACTGGGGGTGTGGAAAAGGGCGGATAAGTTAAACACCAGCTACACTTGCCTGCCTGCCAAAGCAGACGCGAGGGGACGATGGGTGTAATTCTCCATCGTCTCAGCTCACTCACGCCCCTTCTTTGTTCTCCTCACTCTGATAATCAAGGGCTGAGTGGAGATAACTGCAGGACCTCTAACATCTTCTCTCAGAATCTGAAACACTTGCAGACCCTTCTTTCGTTCTCCTGCCTCTCTCCTAGTCAGAGTTGGCCCCCGCCGCCTTTAAACATTGCCTGTTTCCTCATTTCAATTGTGTTTGTAACTAAATGCATAGTCTGCGTCATCTACATGAGGGAAAGTCCAGCAGCTGCGAGTGAACTTGATGCCTGGTTGGGTGGTTGTGAGGCAGTCAGATGGGTCAGAACTCACTCGGAACAATGCAGGACAGACACATATTACCCGCCAGGGCTGTGCCCTAACTGAAGACTCTGTCTGCTCTCAAATGATTCAGTCCAGCTGTTCCATCCTGTAATTGTGGCCTAGGTTTTCACTGTGGTCACAGCTAACGGCAGTTGGGATGAATGTTCCCCTGCCCCAGACCAGATGGCACACAGCCAGATAACATGACTGTACCTTTTTAGTGAAGCCTGGTGGACAGGGGATGGGAGCGAGCTGGGGTCTGCCAGGCCTGCTCACAAGATGAGCGTTTCCTTGGCCGTTATCTAGAGCCTTGACAGCAGGTGATCCGCAGAGCCCCTCACTCGTTCTCCAAGTTCCCTGAAGTGTAGAGAGCCTAAGTCCCAGCTCCCGGGCTCCTGGGATGATGAATTAGGTACTGGGGTGAACCCACCCTCCTCCCCAGTCCTCTGATGCCGATTCTAGCTGTATAGATGGGGGGGGGGCGGTCCTCCTCTTCCAGCTGCAGCTTAGGGTTCTCTTTTCCTCACTAGACGTTTCCCTTAAAGACTCCATAGGACCACTATGCATGGAGTGCACTGCCTGCAAGTCCTTGGGAGTCAGAGGTCAGAGGCCAGGTCTTACCTGGAGTCAGAATTCCCAGGGCCCAGCCTAGCAAAGTAAATGAACGGGGTAGTGAATGAACTGAGACCAGCTCGCTATCCTTTGGCTCCACTCCAAGCTCAGTCCCCTTTAATGGCTCCCTACTACCTCCCAGAAAAAAATTCCAGTGACAGTGATTTGGCAGTGTAGGAGAGGCCCCCTCTTCCACCTGTGAAGCCTTTCCTGGGTCCTCCTCAGAGCCTCCTGTGTCTCAGCCAAAGTAGTCCTTGAACAAACACTGTTCTCTCTCCGTTGAGGACAGCCTCTGTTCCCCAGCCCTCCGCCCTGCATAGAGAAACCTAGTCTATCGCAGTCATGGAAACTTCCTCCTCCCTAAGCACTGGCTAGGGAGGACTCCTCTTTCCAGCCCCTGAACACCTGTGCACAGGTGTGAGCAGGAACACAGATCTGGGATCCAAAGCCCAAATTCACATATTGTTGCTTCTAACCTGGGCAAGGAAGCTGGCCCTCCCTGTGTGTCTGGCTGCCCACCTTCAAACTGGGAATGATAATTTCTGTCTTCCAGGGTCCCTGTGTCACACAGGAACATATATTCATAGGCATGTTTTGAGAATGTGGAGTGGACTTTCAACTCTCTCACACCCCTGTCTGGTCTCACTCCTCAGCTTACAGCTGTTCTTCACTGAGAGGCCCACAGGAAGCTCCCTGTATTAGTGTCTGGAGACCAGTCTCCCAGGGACAGGGTCGGGCACACTCTCCTTGCAGGGCTCAGGGATACTGTATTCTGGAAGTTGGCAAGCTCAGTAGTCCACACACTGCCCTAGGAGAGGCCCTTGTTTCTAGCCATGGACAACACTGTTTGGATAGAAGCCACAGCCTTAAACCTCAGGGATCCAACTGGCCACACTTCCAGTCCAGCTACCAAAAGGCCCCCAGCCCTGAAGTCCTAACCCCACCCCTAGTGTCCAAGTCTACTCAGGCAGCCATGGCAAAATACCAGACTGTGTATTGTCTCCTAACCACAGAAACATCTTTCTCATAGTACTGGAGGCTAAAAGTCTGAAAGCAGGACGCCAGCGTGGTAATGCTCTGGGGAGGGCTTCCCCCACCAATGTCTGTGTCCTCCTGGAGGAAAGGAGATGGAGACAGGCAGTGAGTGAATGAGCTCTCCGGTATCGTTTTAAATAAAAACGCTAGTCCTGGGCTGTCAAGATAACTCAGTAAAGTGCCTGCCATGCAGGCCTGCTGAGCTGTTCGATCCCTAGAATGCACATCTGTACAAAGGGAGAGGGAGAGAGCTGACTCCAGAAAGCTGTTCTCTGATCTCCGGCTTGCACTATGGCATATGAGCTCCTCATACACTTTCCGATGGTGATGGTGGTGATGACGATGGCAATAATAATAATAATAATAATAATAATAATAATAATAATAATAATATAATGATAATAAGAACGTTATCTGGGCCCCATCCTTGTAAACCAAACCTAATTGCTTCCCAAAGCCCTACTCCAGATACTGTCATGGTAGGGACTAGGGGGCCAGTTTATGACTGAGGGATTGAGGACACAGTCCAGTGAACAGCATGAGTGAGGGGGAAGGACCTCCCTTCACTTCAAGATGCCCGGGGGGCCTCAACTTTAGAACACATGAGCAGAATGCGATGGTCTGGAGGACATCTCAGTGAGGCTGCTTCTCGGTTTGAGAAAAAGTCTTCTGCAGAGGCACCAAAGGGTCAGCTGCCCCCGTTGAAACTATCATGTTAGCGGGTGGCCTTGGGTCACCTCGGCAGACCGTCTCTATGGCCACATCCCTCTGGGGTCGGGTGTGTTTTAATTATATCGTATGTGGAATTCAGAACAAGAACCAGGGCTGCTATCTGTCTTTGCTGCGAAGTCTGAATACACTGGACACATTACCCCACAATTCCTGCAACCCCCACATCACACATACAACTCACCTGGTATATAGCTGAGATGTGGGAAACACAGTTTGTTTGGTGTATCAGGACCCCAAAAATATGAGCTATGCTATGAAACCTCTAGCCATCCTGGTCACAGATGACAGACCCCATTCACAGTGAGACTGTAATTAAATGTGTGACCTGCCTCCTCCCATGGGAACAAAAAGGGGAAGGATTTCTTTTCTTGTTTTTCTAAACTTTTTTTTTTAGATTTATTTACTTATTTTATGTATATGATGCTCTATCCGCATGTATGACTTTATGCCAGAAGAAGGCACCAGATCTCATTGTAGATGGTTGTGAGCCACCATGCGGTTGCTGGGAATTGAACTCAGGACCTCTGGAAGAGCAGCCAGTGCTCTTAACCACTGAGCCATCTCTCCAGCCCCAAAAGACATCTCTTTGAGCAGAAGATGTTTTCTTTTTTCCTGCTTCCTGAGACTTCTAAGTCTCCTACCCCATTCTACTTCAGCACTGACTAGAGGTTGAGTCTGACTCATCCCTTCCCCGGCTGGAGTCTCAACACTTTCTTAAACTAGTTCTTTGTCCTTATTCTCTCAAGTCTTTGCCTGTGGTTTCTCAAGTGCTGGTGACTCCTGGAATTGAACTAATTCAATTTCTGCCCCAGCACTGGTTAAAGTTTCTCTGGAAGAGATATGTAAGATGTATCACCCAATCTGGTTGGTGACCACTGGGATTCAGGCAGAACTGCCCCAAGAACGTGGAGTAGGGGACTCTCCCAAGTCCAGGGAGAGATGTTCAACCAGGAGAGACAGCCGTAAGTGCCACATAAGAGCTTCCCAGACCCGGGCAGCAGCACGTGCAGGTCCATGATCTGGACAGGGAGGTCAGTCTACTGAGTGCCAGAGGAAGCCACAGGAGCAGGAGAGTGACAGGAAACTTTCTGGAGCCGCTCTTGATCAAACTATTAGTCCCTAACCAGACTGACTAACCCCATGGAGCTGGAATGACCAGGAAACACCGAGGGGACAGATCTGTGACCTGAGTCAGCCAAGCCAAGCCACATCTTCAGGTTAAGGAGCTTTCAGAAAGTCACTTCTGCTTGCTGGCCAGCCATTTCCTCATCCCTACAATGGAGTTGGACCAGCATCTTTCCAAGGTCCTTTCTAGCCTCCAAATATAGATAGTAGTGGGCACAAGTCACCCGTTCACAATTGTTTGCTAAACAAGTACAGTTGTTGTGCACACTATTTCCCCAGGCTAGTGGCCGCTCTGGTGGGGAGTCAGAGATGGTAGCTGTTTTTCTTTCTTGAGGAGGCACTGAAGTGTGTTCCCACAGTGGAGTATCATCGGCTCTGGGAGAAGCTGAGGACAAGCTGGTTTCCAGTGGTACAGAGGAAGCACTAGAGCCTGTAGGCAGGAAGTGAGTTCTGTACATGGTTTAGCTTGCTAAACCAGCTGGGCAAACTCCAAATTCTGCATCTCATGTCTGATGTCAAAGCGCTCTTCAGATCTCTAACTCCATTCAGCTTTGTTGACTGTAACATACTTTTCTTTCTTGGGCTGGGTTCACTCCCTGTTAGCAGCTCTCCTCAGCAGGTATCCCACAACTTTGGCATTGCCAACATCTTGGGGTCTCCAATACAATCTAGATTTCGCCTTCACAGCTTTATGCAATGGCCTCTCTGGGCCCCCATGCAGGGACACTCTTGACACATGCCTGGCCTCAGTGACTTTTCTTAGCTGAGGAGGGAGATTCCACAGCCCCTTTCTTGTATCCTTGACTCTAAAGCCAGAACAGATGGCCAGAGCTGCCAAGCTCTGTTGCTTGTTGGGGCTGGAACTTGACCCCCTCCTTCAGTTACATCTGCAATGGCTTTCTGTAGATGGTGGCCTCCATCACTGCTGAAGCTTTCCTTTAATTCCTCCTCACAAGTTGGGAGTTTAGCTGGGTGGGGTCTTGCCCTGAGGTCACCACTCCCTTTATTCTTTAAACTTTTTATCTCCTTGAGCACAGGACTTAGCACCATTGTACTTCCTGTGCTCCTTTTATACTCAAACTGTACATTTTATATTTCCCTTTGTCTAGCTTACTCCTTTTCATCATATATCTGCATAAGAGTGATTACTAATAACCACATGGCACAGTTAATATTAAGCTCTCTTAAAATCCCCTCTGTCAACCCTATTAACAAAACTCTTCAATTTAGCTTCAGGCAGATTTTTAAGACGTGCACAAAAGCGGCCACAGTATCACAAGAATGGTCTCTGGGCCACTTACTAATGAATCCTCATGAACCAGGCCATCACAGTCTCCATTGCTCTCCGCACCACTGTCTTCTGTGCTCCTACTAATATGTCCCGTTAGGCCCTACTTACAGCATTCAACTGCTTTCCTAATCCAGAGTCCCAAAGTCCACCTTCAGCCAACAAGCAGCATGGCCAGGCCTGTCACAGCAATACCCCACCCCTGGTACCACAATCCACAGGGCAGTTCCTCATTCTTCTTATAGCTGTGTAATGTTCCATTCACGTGGCCTGTCCCCTTTTCTAAAGTGGGTTGACTCCTGCTTTTCACCCTTACAAACAGTGATGCTGTTGTTAACTTGAAAGTACATTCCTTTACATGGTACAAGGGCACCTGCAGAAGGGAGTCCCTAAGAGAAGCTGCTGGGTGAAAGGTGCATTCTGTAGCACTGTGGACACTGCCAGGCACTCCTCCATATGCAAGCGTGCCCTTCAGTACAGCTGACTTTGGGAGCAGTGTCTGTTTTGCCTCCAATGCCCCGAGGGGATGAGCAGAGGAAAAGATAAGCTTGAAAACTCTTCACTTACTTTAAAGCATGCACACATTAACAGTTCCAGGAGAACCGAGGAGCTGGGCTGGGCTGCTGGCACGGCATATAGCCACGGATGAGGACATGACCCTGTGGGCACGGGCTTTTCCATGGCTGCCCTCTGATAAAGAGAAGTGCCACCTGACAGGTGCAGGCTTGGGCAGCTGCATCTCTATTGAGGAAGCCCCTGGAATCTTCAAGAGGACAGCTTGAGCTGCAGCTCAGATCAGGGCTGGATGGAGAGTCCCAGACAGAAGAGTGTGCTCAGAGGGTTTGCTCTGAATCAGGGCTTGGCAAGACTGGCCTGAGAGGGCTTGTGCTATTTTATAACCTTGGAAAATGGAGTATTCTTATAAATTCATGGTGAAGGAGTGGAAATGTTGCCCTCTGTGCCAGCCAGCTGTTGGTGCTCTGTGTCACTCAGTGGTACTTTTAACTATGTGAGGAACTACTCCAGCCACAGGGAAATGTTCTGCATTAATAATTAGTCCAGAATGTGCCCAGAGAAGTAAGTCACACTCAGAGCAAACCGGAGTACCCAACTCTGCTTAGAGTCTCCTTTACAGTTAAAATTCCAGCTAACATCATTTTCCCATTGTTCAAAGCTTCTGGCAGTGTTCCTGCCCAAAGAAATGCAAATTTCCCCTCGAGTCTGAAAGCTTAGCAGATGGGAATGTTGTGTGCAGTTGGGAAAAGTCACGGGCTTCATTACCAAAAATTAACATCTTTCATCTGGTTCTTCCACTTATTAGCAAGTGGTCTTGGCTAGCTGTAATTAGTCTTCCTCAATGTTAGTTTCTCCTGCTGGTAAATGAGAGTAACTGGCTCCCTTAACCAGCCTGCAGAGTAGTTCTGAGGACTCCCCTTCTCAGGGAAATGCTGCACTAATGCTTAACAAAAGAAGAGTAGATGGTTCTTCCTGAGTATAATCACCATGTGCCTTTAACCACTTCAGTGCATGTCCTCTGTTGAAATCCTGTTCATTTTCTGAAGGGCAGGGTTAGCTTTCAGTTAACTGTATGGTTGTCATAAAATGTCACTGCCCCTGGTCCTGTTTCAAGTTTTGAACCGTCCGCCTGGTTTTCACAAGTGCACAAACCTTCTAGTCCCCAAAAGCCACCCAGCCCTATAAACAGTAATGCTGTCCTTCAGTAGTTCAGTCCAGTGACCTCCGAGTCATTCTTGACTCTTCTGTCCTAGCCATCCATATAAAGGTGGACCCTTCACTTCATTTGTTGGAAAGAACAGGAGTTGACACAAAATTACCCTTTAGATGAGCTTTATTAGGAGAGATCCTCATGGCCACAGACAGCTATGATCAGGCCAGGACATGGAGAGCATTAGCAGACAGCCACACCAGGGTGGAGAAGCTGCTGGAAGAGAGCCCTCCATTCTAAAGAACAAAGGGCATTCTAGTTCTTAGAGGTTTTCAGTGGAGGTGGCCCGCCTCTGTACCATGTGATCTAGCTGGGCCTGGCATTGACAAAAACAGTTACAGTTCAAGGGCTGTCTGTGGTCTGGGAATCGGGGTGGCTGGGCTTGCTCACAGCTCTAAGAGGGCAGGAGAGAACTACCAGGGAGACAGGCTTCGGGGGTGGGGGGCTGTTTCTGGAAGGCAGAGAAGGACAGGTAGAAGATCTGTGATCTAACATCAGTCCCAGTCATAGCCAGTTCAACCACATCATCACCAGTGTTCTGGGCCAGCGGGATCATGGCAATAGGCTGTACCCATCCCCTGTATTTCTTCTCTGCCCACACCATTCTGTGCTTTCAAAACGCAGCCCAGACTAAGGGATTCTACTGCTCAAATCATCCTGTGACTGCTCTTCTCCCTCAGACATGTCCTGCCTAGTCCTACCACGCTGGGCTCCGTGCCTTCTCTGCAGCAGTGTGCAGATGTTCCTTCTTGCCTAGAGACCGGCACTCACCTCCTCTCCATCTCCAGGGCTAAGATGTCAAGCCCCAACCCAGCAGTGACTCTCTGTCCCTCTTGTCTTCTATTTCTCCAAGGCACTTTCCTCCCCACTAAGAAGACATGCTTGTCTATTGTTTGTCTTCCATACCCTGATATACTCCTGACACCCATCACCAAATGCAAAGTCCCATGGAAGCAAAACAATTTTTTTTTTTTACTGGTTGTTCTGTCCTTAGTGGCTAGAACGATGCCTGGCCCACAGTAAGAACTCACAACAAATCTGCTTACTGTCTAGGTGTGCTCAAGTTTACCTTAGCACTCAGGAGGCTAAAGCAAAAGATCATGAGTCTGAGTTCAAGCCCAGCCTGGGTTACATAGGGATATCCTGTCTCAAAACAACAACAAAGAGCTTTGCTGACTTTGAATAAATGAATGAATCAGCTAAGTGTTCTTCTGCATACATATGTAGATCCATAGGAAAGTTGGTATTGGACTTATTCTCTCATAGTCATAGACATTTACATCTCCTTTTGAAAACTGTCTTCTGTTCCCTTTTTCCTATGGAGCTGGATATTTTGCTTTATGTATGTGCTTTGTATATATTAAGAATTTTTGCTCATAGATACTTTCTATCCTGAAACGAACTGTGTGGGAAAAGACACTGTTTTAACTTAAGATGTCTGCAATGTCTTTTGTAAATGACTAGGTCACTAATCTATGAGTAATTTTCTTCTATTTCTGTATTCTAATCAGAACTGGACTCTTGTGCTTTGGGGGACCATGGCTGTGAACATTCATGTGTAAGCAGTGAAGACTCATTCGTGTGTCAGTGTTTTGAGGGATACATCCTCCGTGACGATGGGAAGACCTGCAGAAGTAAGTTTGCTAGTGCTAGTGCATATGGCCATGCCTGAGACCCACCATGCCAGCTTGGTGTGAGACAATTACTCTCAACTGTCAACATCACACAATCAAATGCCATGTGTCTGGATGGGACCCCGGGACAGAGAAGGGGTGCTGCGTGAAAACAAAGTAACTATATATAGTGATGTGTTTTAGTAAATAATAACCGTCGAGCCAGGTATGGGTTATGTGCTTTGATTCCCATTACTCAGAAGGCAGAGAGAGGTAGGTGATCTCTGTGGACTCAAGCCCAGTCTGGTCTACATAGCAAGTTCTAGGTCAGCCCTACAGAGTGAGACCCTCTCTCAATAACAACAACACACGGCAATGAGCCTGGTGATATACCCCTATAATCTTGGCTACTTAGAAGGCTGAGACAGGAGCATGGCAAATTCACAGACTTCCTGGGCTATAGGCCATACTGGTCTTACTAAATTTAGTGAAACACTGTCTCAAAATAAAAAAATAAAGTAAAGTAAAAATGGAGGGCTAGAGAGATGGCTTAGTGATTAAGAACACTTGCTGCCCTTCCAGAGGACATGAATTCAGTTCCTAGCACCCATATCAAGCAGCTTACAGGCTCCTGTAACTCCAGGTCCAAGGAATCTGACACCCTCTCCTGGCCTCTGCAGGCAACTATACTCATGTGCACATACCCATACACAGACACATAAATAAAAATTAAAATAAATAAATGGACTGGGGATGTAGCTTCAGAGTTGAGCATCTGCCAGGCACACACAAGGCTCTGGGTTCAGTCTACAATACCCCAATAATAACAATAACAATCAAAGCGAAGTGTGCAAATCTGGGCAAATGGTTCTTATCTCTGTCAGTCTTCTTTTTCTCAGACTTCTCAAAGCTCTTCCCAAAAAGCTGTGAAGAAAAGATGAGTACCTGCAATCATTACTCTTATTTCCAGACAGGAACGCCAAGATTCCAAGAGGTTATGTGATTTTCCTAACTCATAGATTATGCCAGGGACAAAGGCAAGTTCAGATCCCAGTGCTGCTGATCTAAACTGAAGCTTTCTCCTATGTGATCCTACACTTGAAACCAGAGGCCATGTCTGCAAACAGCTGAGGCAGAACTGATCCTGACACAGGTCATGCTGGTGAACGGTGATGGCAATGACACTGAGCAAGTTTGAAGATTCGGCCCAACCTAGAGCCACCAAACTTTACCCCTGGTTTTTCCTTCCTACTCAAGTGGCACTTGAGCCCAGAGGCCAAGATGGATGGATCTTCCAGGGGGAAGTCCAAGTAGACTTTATGTTGATGCAGTTGTTTTAATCACTGTATTCTCCTCAGGGAAAGATGTCTGCCAGGCTATAGACCATGGCTGCGAGCACCTCTGTGTAAACAGTGGCGAATCATACATCTGCAAGTGTCTGGAAGGATTCAGGCTGGCTGAGGATGGCAAACACTGTAGAAGTAAGTAGCTTGTGTGAAGAGCCTTTCTCCTGTGGGACGCGGGGTCCAGTGCTTCACTTACTCCTCAGTCTTCCTTTGTAGGCTTCTTAACATCACAAACTCGGGTTCCAACTTTGGGTGCTCTGAAAGTGTTTCTAAGGCGTCAAGTCAGGAACGTCTCAGTGGCAGTCCCAGGTCGTCAGGCTCTTTGCTTCTGTGTCCCCTCAGCCCTCGGCCTTCAGCAGGTGGTTGGATGGGTGTACAGGGTCTAGTGTGGTGCTTCACAAGTCGGTGGGCAGAATTAGACTCAGTGGTGGCAATGACTACCAGGACCAAAAAGATAATCCCAGTGCTTTTCCTTCTAGGCAGACCATGTACATGCGGTGAAGGCGGGGAAGGGGCTGGAGGCAGGCTCAGGGTTTCAGTGTCAGGAGGGACTGCAGAGAGGGCTCGGTTGGTGAAGTGCTTGCTGCGAGTGCACGAGGACTTGAGTTCGATCCCCGGCAGCCATGGAAAAGCAAGAGTGGTGGAGCACACCGGTCACCTCAGTGCCAGGAGGGGTTACGGGAGGGTCCCAGACACTTGCTGGCCAGCCAGCCTCGTTGAATTGGTCAGCTGCAGGTTCAGTAAGAGACCTTGTCTCAAAAAATGAACTGAATAGTGACTGAGGAAGACACTGACCTTTGGCCTCCACAAGCGTGCACACATATGTGAGTGTGTATTGCACACACACACACACACACACACACACACACACACACACAGATTCTCCAGAAAAATAGATAATAGTGTTTATGTGCTGGAGACACATGTACATGCATGTTGTGCCTAAAAGGAAGAAAGAGGGAGAAAAAGAAAGGGAAATTCATTTCAAGGAATTGGCTCATGGGATTGTGGGGGCTGGTGAGGAGGATGTTTGTAAGGAAGGCTGGAAACCCAGTAGAACTGATGTTCAGGTGAAGAGAGTCTTCCCTTCCTCTGGGAATCTTAGACTTTAACATTAAGACCTTCAACTGATTGGACGAAGCCCACACACACTACAAAGGGTGGTCTGCTTTACTCAGAACTGCTGCCTTACATGTTAACCTCATGTACAAGGTACTTTCGCAGCAGTATCTAGACCTACATTTGACAAATCAGCTGGCACCATAACCCAGCCAACGTTCACATAAATTAGCCGTTATGCCACCCAAAGCAGCTCAATGAGGTAGGGATTGGAATACAGGCATAGACTTTCTCTCCGTTCTGGACGGTAGTCCTCTTTAGGGGCTGCGGGTGATAATACCTACTTGTTTTTGACACTGCTGTGCTGTTCTTTCTTGGTTAAACAAAGTAAGTTCATTTGCTTTTGAGGTTGCTTTGTGGGCAGGTTTCGCACAGACTCCCTTGAGAGCACGGGGCATTCCACGTGTCAACAAAGCTAAGTAGGATAGCTCGTCCGGCATTCTTCGGCAGGGGCACAGCTTGTATCTGGTGAGAGGCTCTGTGCCTGACCACCAGCCTCACACTGCACACTGTGTTGCTTCTTTCCTGGAGACCATGCTCCACTCCTACACGTGTCTGCCTGAGCCACAGTTTTCTATTGAGTCAGCATGTGTTTTGGTCGATACATTGAACAGTTGTGTGAAAGGCATTGTTTCTAGCTTTGCACTTTGATCCCTAAATTAAATCTCAACAATTTCCCACTTCCTAGATGGATCCATAGTCACAGATTCCAATTTCACATAAGGTTTCTCCTTTTAAAGGGTAGATGAAGCCCAGGGTGCCTCAGCTGTGCCATCCTCCGCCTGGACACCTTGGATAATTCAGTCAGACTCATGGCATTCCCGGTTCCATTTATTCCCTGTGTATACCTAGCCATGTCCCAAGAGTGTTGTGAGGATTAAAGGGTCATAACTACTTAAGGAGTTCAAATTACTTCACCTGTGAGACATGCTCATTAGACAACCACATGGGATATTTGGGCTCTCTACTAAAAAATCAGAAGCTAAAGCTTATCTAGTCATTCAAAATCAAGTGACAAGTCCACCCGAGCCAGGAGGAACGAGAGTTCTGAGAGGAGCTGCTCCGTGGCCTGCAAAGATGAGCGGTTTAACAAAGCTGGACTCTTCAAACAGCTTACTCCCTTGCTCTCCCCTGGCATGACTGTTCACACCGGCTTATTTCTACATAATTGGTTGTTCACCTCCCTGAATTTTCCCCAGGGAAGGATGTCTGCAAGTCGACCCACCACGGCTGTGAGCACATATGTGTGAACAACGGAGATTTTTACACGTGCAGGTGCTCAGAGGGGTTTGTCCTGGCTGAGGATGGGAGGCGCTGCAAGAGTGAGTGACCTGAACCAGCTCTCTGCTTCCGTTTTGTTTTGGGGCATTTTCAGACTCCTTAACCCTGCTTCTCCTGTAAACATAGATGTGTACACTGACAGAAGACAGGGCTAAGCTCAGCAACAACAGCCAGAACAGTAAATGACAATGGCTGGCTCTGTTCTGTAAGCAAGGGATATATAGAGGGTCCAATACCCCTGAATCTGCTGGAGAGCCACATGCACGACACCTGAGTCTTCTCTGATTTCCTTTCCATGATTAAAGAATCAATCGAGTAATGAGAACAAGCACTTAATGAAGAGAGAAGCCAACCTCGATGCCCACATACATGTGAACACTCACACTAGCATTTCCCACAGGCCAACCATACAAGTTTTTTGCATATGTGTGTCTTTACTTGCTTTATTATTGTGCTTCACTTTGAACGATTAGACAGCTGCTTGGTATATAAAAGAGAATATTATAATAACATACTGTAGACTGTTTGAGATGAGATCATTCATTTGGGATTGCTACAATTCTCTTATGCAGCCCCACATAACAAAGTCTCTTGGCATCCAAATTGCTACGTATTTGCATAAACTTTTTCTCTTTTTACTGTCAACCATCTAAATTGCCCAAAAAGCTCTAGTATGTATGGGTAAAGAATTCAGTGATCAAACATTTTTAAGTCTTAATAGGTCAGTAGGGTACTTATAAGTGTACTGCCTAATGGATACCACCCTGTTCTTTTATTCTGTCAGTAATAATGTATTGAATACCTATTGCGTGCCAAACATTATGGGCACAAAAATAAATGAGACACATTATCTCCTAAAGAACAATTCAGATGAGGGGAGAAAGACCCATTGTTAAATAATTGTCCCCCTATATGGATATAGCACACTGGACTTAAGCAACATAATGTCAGACATTTTGTGTTAGTCATTATCATAATCCTGCTGTATCCATTGCCTTGCATAAATTAATCTGTTGGGGGTATTTTATCTAGAGAGTAGCTGAGACAAGTTGGGTTACCCTAGAAGCTTCTTGGGAGAAGTAATGGCTGAGGGAAAATTAATCATCTCAACTGTCAGTCAAAATACTGTATATCAATATTGTGTTTATCTGCCTCCCACAGCAAAGCAAAAAGAACTGCCTTGGTATAGTCTAATCCCGTGGTTCTCAACCTGTGAGTAGCAACCCCTTTAGGAGTCAACCGACCTTTTCACATGGGTAAACAGATATTTACAATTCATAAGAACTGCAAAGTTACAGTTATGAAACAGCAACAAAACTAATTTTATGGTTGGGGTCACATGAGGAACTGTATTAAAGGGTCGCAGCATTAGGAAGGTTGAGAACCACTGTTCTAATTCTTTACCATACTGTATGCACAGTTCCAAGGACTGACTGCTGGCAATCAATGTGTGATTTCCTTTACAGTGTGTATACTGTGTATACTGGGTAACTTATTTAGGGAAATCACTAGTGTTATTAATTGGTGACTCAAACATAAAAGTCATCTGGAAACCAGTGTTACTTGTGATGTCCCCACTCGTCAGTGAGGGAGCTGAGGAGCAAAGACAGCTCTCCAGACTCAGCCACGTCTCCGGGGGAAGCACGCTTTTCTGTACTCTTGCATGTATCGACCTCTGACTTTGTACCATGTCACCTCTCCTTTTGTTCCTATAGGATGCACTGAAGGCCCAGTTGACCTAGTCTTTGTGATCGACGGATCCAAGAGCCTCGGAGAAGACAATTTTGAGATTGTGAAGCATTTTGTCACTGGGATTATAGACTCCTTGGCAATTTCCCCCAAAGCTGCTCGTGTGGGGCTGCTACAGTATTCCACACAGGTCCGCACAGAGTTCACCTTGAGGGACTTCAGCTCAGCCAAGGACATGAAGAAAGCTGTGGCTCACATGAAATACATGGGCAAAGGCTCTATGACTGGGCTGGCCCTGAAACACATGTTTGAGAGAAGTTTTACCCAAGTAGAAGGGGCCAGGCCCCTCTCCACACGGGTGCCCAGAGTAGGCATCGTGTTCACCGACGGACGGGCTCAGGATGATGTCTCCGAGTGGGCCAGTAAAGCCAAGGCCAATGGTAATATGGGGTGGAGTTGCAGTTTATATTACTCAAAGCTCAGGACTTTTAAATCCATAACTGGCCTTAGAGGTCAGAGTGTTTGAGTGCAGAAAGGCTTTCTGATAACTGCCATTAAAAATACACCTTGACTGTACTGCCACCTAGAGGCCATAATGGGACCCCGGAGATGCTAAATAAAATGCTTCTCACAGCCTGAGTAATAGGATTTACCAGCCAGTCAGTGTGTGACTACCAGTAGAGAGATCACCTCAGCCCATGCCATTAAACTACAACATACAACTGGTCCAACACCCTGGTATGTTCCTTCCAGAGTCACCCAAAGAATTTTTTTTTAATGATTTCTGGAGGCCGGCAAGTTAACAGCACTTCCAGAGGACCCAGGTTCAATTCCCACCACCCACATGGCTGCTCACAACTATCTGTAACTTTAGTTCCGGGGCATCTGGCACCCTCACACAGATATTCAGGCAAAACACCAATGCACAAAAAAAATTTAAAAAAAAAAATGATTTCTGGTGGCAACTTCACTGACACAAATACACTTTAAAAACAACGACAACAAAAACCAGGATCTTGGTCCTGTAGGTGAACTCCATTCCCCCTCACAGAAAGGCTAATGGTTCCCAACCAATCCATTTTATTGACATTTCTTACCTCACTGTTCACTTAATTTTTCCTTGCTCAAGAGAAAGGGATCCCTGGGTCATCTGAGTGGTTTGTAAAACTGGTTGTTCACTCAAGACTAGCTTGCTAGAGCTCATGTCTAATCCATAAGCTCTGCTAGACTACCTTCTTAAAAAGTACGAGGGAAGAATCTTTGCCTCCTAAAACAGATTAGCCTTTTACTAGACTCAATAAAACTAGCCCACCTTACACCTCCTGCAAATTGCCCAAAGGCTGGTTGGTAGGAGCAGACATTTAGTTGTCTGAGTCAGCAAGGTTTATCCAAAGTAACATCCTCCTAATGAATTCAGTCTCCCAGGATATGGCTGATACAAGCTTAAACTAGTCATTCCCCTTTTGTGGGAAACCACGTACACATCACTGGCGCCCAGACAAATAAGCCAAACTCAGCTATTCATATAGACTCAGAACAAGGTGTCCCCTCACCCCCTGGCTTTCAGGACCATTCTAAAAGGCACTCTTAAACCTCTAGTGTGTCAGATTAGCCAAAATAAGACATCAATGCTGAAAACTGTTGGAAGTACAACAGAGCTCAATTGTTGTTTTACTTTCAAATGAGGCAGTGGCGTCTAAAGACTAGCTTGATTTAGAAAAGGTTTTATAGCAACTTCATATCCCTTTGAAATCTAAGAAAGATGTTTCTTCTTTTTCCTGACTGGGATTCCCGATGGTCTGCAGACTCACTCCCCTTTCTGCTCAAGATGATGCTCCCTAAGAAAGGTGGGCAGAAGGCAGTTCCACTGGACCCCAAGACAGCTAAGATTCTCCTTTCGAGAAGAAACCATCCAAGAACTCAGAAGGCTGAGGCAGGGGAATTACAAGTTCCAGCCCAGCCTTATCTATATTATAAGAGCCCATCTAAGGTTCTTATTCGACCTGCCTGGAATTTTCCCAGGAAACCTCTCATTTTAGTAAGCTGTGAGACTTTTCCCTACTATCTAGAAGGCCAATTCAGGAAAAAACTGCACATTTGTTACCTGACCCCATCTAGAGCTAATCAATAGCTGTCTACCCTCTTCTATATGCTGCATCTCTAGGATCTTTTGTTCATAAGTCTGAAATACCAATGCTGAAAAATATAGAGAGGTGTTGGCATTGATGCTTCAAATCACATCACTTAATATCTAACTGACTTTGGGCATAGCACAATGTCCAGACGCTGGGAATGCAACTGTATCTTATTCTAATTTCTGCTGCCCAGGTATCACTGTGTATGCTGTTGGGGTAGGAAAAGCCATTGAGGAAGAACTACGGGAGATTGCCTCTGAGCCCACCAATAAGCATCTCTTCTATGCCGAAGACTTCAGCACAATGGGGGAGATAAGTGAAAAGCTGAAGCAAAGCATCTGTGAAGGTATTGCAGAATGTATCTATGGTTGACCTTAGCCACAGGGCAGCATGAACCTAGAAAATCCTCAAACCATTCCTTTGGTGCTCAGAAAACACCTCCTTGCTGACCAAGACAAGTGATACCTGGAGACACTACGGCCAGAGAATGGAAGAGAGGTGAAGACAAATGTGGTAGCTACCATGTCTTGAGCACTTAGCCTGTGCTGAACAGCATGCTAAATGCTAACATGTCTTTCTCGACCCTCAAACCCTAGAGAAGTGATCATCTAGGCAGGGAGCCACTGTTAAAGAAATCAGAAGTACTATTTCAGAAAATTTGTGCAAACAGATATCTATCCTTTTGATTTCAGACATTTTATGTAGTTTTTGCAGTTCACTAATTAATCCAGTTATGCTTACACATAGGAATTCTACCCATTTCCCCTCTTTATTCACATGCTGAGTTCAGACACCCTTAAAATTCAACCTAAATGATGCTTTATCCCTCTAAACACTGGGGTGAAGGGAGATCCAGGGGTAAAGCCTTCCAAATCCCCAAGGGTGGAGTGTGTTTTGCCTTTGGCGCTTTCATTCTCAGTGAAATGTCCAGGCAGGGCCACAGGAATCACTGGATCTTTTAGCAACTTTTTTTCTGCCTTACCTACTTGACATGACACAGGGAGGGGAGCATTCTTTAGATGTAATTTAAGTCTCTTCAGGGAGGTAACTGCTCTACCATGGCCATATATCATCACAGAATCTTTTGGTTACCAAGTAACACCAAAAGACCCTGGGTTCTAACTGTGTCCTAAAGAGCACGTGTGAAACTGTCACTCCTTTTGGCCATCTCTTTCCATTCAGCTCTAGAAGACTCTGATGGAAGACAGGACTCCCCAGCAGGGGAACCACCAAAGCAGGCCCACCAGCCAACAGGTGAGCTTTCGAAGGTAGTGTGGTCAGCCTTCACTGGAGCCTTCTGCCTCAGCTACCCTTGCAGATACAAGTTGTACAGTGACAGACAGGAAGGACTTACTCCTTTAAACCGTATTTGGTAGCTACCACCCCTGTTGATAGTCTAAGTCACAGTATGTTTCTGAGCAAAGCGTAGCTGCTTTAGACCACAATAGTGTGAAGCAGGTTTGAATTCAGTTTTCTCTCTTTACAGAATCTGAGCCAGTCACCATAAATATCCGAGACCTACTTTCCTGTTCTAATTTTGCAGTGCAACATAGGTATCTGTTTGAAGAAGACAATCATTCACAGTCAACACAAAGACTCTTCCACTCGACAAAATCTTCAGGTAACCCAAGTGAAATATCACTACTACATACGCTGCAGCAGCCTTCTGGTTTGTCAGCAGACTTAGCTTAAAGAAGTAGGAAATAAAGGGGAAACTAAGTAAATAACTAAAAACTAAACTAGGAGAAGCAGTAGTAGTCTTGACCTCTAGTGTACAAAGAAAGCCTCTTCAAGGTTTGAAGCCACCACAGCTCTTTCCCAGCATTTACTTCCCTGGATCTGGATGCATGGAAAAGGCTGACCATTTCTTTCATGGTTTCCTGTGTACTGACTCAATCTGGTTATTATGTGTCTGGGAAGTGTGGTGCAAGACAGAGGTGAACTCTTTCCATCTGCTTTCTCAGGAAGCCCTTTGGAAGAAAGCCAAGACCAATGCAAATGTGAAAACCTTATAATGTTCCAGAACCTTGCAAATGAAGAAGTAAGAAAACTAACCCAGCGCTATATCCTTTTCCAATAGGATGCTCTGAATGTAATGCAAAGAATACTAGCAAAACTTCACAAATCACTGTGGATTTCATCACAAAGCTAGCAATACTGAATCAGAAGAGGCCTCTTCTAGAAAAGGCAGCCTGACAGGTGTTTGAGATTAAAGGTCAAGCCAAGCTTAGTGGCCATGGTCAAGCACTTGGTTGTTATCTGCTAGCTAGTATAGGAAGAGTAACATTAAAGCCAATTAGGCAGTATGTAGTGGGGGGGGGGAGCACTTAACTCTATACAAGGATAAACACTAGGAATGAAATGCCTCAGAGATCTATGTCTAGGCAGAGTATGTTGTAGAATGAAGAGGCTTCAAACTCAGTCTAATCTCTAAACCCTCAACCCTAACCACACAGAAGCTGCATGTGTGTGCAGATTTTGAAGAACTGGGTGTTCCCCTTTTCTTTTTGGCAGTCAAGATCCTTTGTATCAACACTCTAGATGAAAATTTCTACCAAAGGAACAGGCCCAGTGACTCATTTAAGCAGGAATGCATGGGGATGACAAGAGTGATTGGTGCTTTTACACAGTGAACACACTGCCAGCTGCTCTGAACTTAAAATTACAGTAAGCTTACGAAAGCTGGCTGATACAGATCTCAGTGAGCATCAACTAGCCCATAGAGAAATGGCTTAATTCTGAACGACCCCTGTGCCATCAGGCTTACTAAGAACAGCACATAGCAATTCTGTCAGGGGGTGGGGGACTGGTTCCCTATGTGGAGTTTTGTAGATTAAGTCTTCGTGACAGTAGACAATACAGATAAAACTGGACTGTCACTCTGCCATGGGGTCAGATAGGAATTAAGGGGCTTCTACAACTTCTCCCTGCCCCACTCATAAAGTGTATTTATTAAGAAACTACATGTAAAAGAGAATAAATTCATGGCCACTCACTCCTTAGCTTTTGGCCTTACCTACCGTCAATGAACCCCACTCCCGTGCCCTTTACTCTGTAAGGCATAATCCTTTCATTTTCTTTACATCTCCCAAATTATCAGTTGCAGCTCCCAGAGAGGCACGATGGTAAATTATAAGCAACATGGGTGTGTTAGAAAACCTTTGGAAAATCTTGGGGAAAAGCCAAATTCAAACTCATCTAGCTTTGATGTTTTAAAAATGAGCTTAACATGAACTACTTTTTTATATTGTCTTAATGGCATGTGTTAAATAAATTACTATAAACGTACAAGGGCCTTTAAAGACCAGTTTGTTTTTAATCCCAACTCATTTTTCTGTAACTTTTAGTAGTCAAATCAAATTGCACTTGATTGTAAGCTAAAACAGGCATCCAGATTCCTCTTCCTTAATTTGGGATTTACTAGAAGAAATGACCCAAAGAATGGAGGCCTTGGAAAACCGCCTACGATACAGATGAAGACTGAAATGCTTTTATGGATTTGTACATCATCATAAAGATTTCAAAAACAGTGGTGGAGCCTCAAACCTCACACCATAGTTAACTCTGTAAGCTGTAAAGCAAAACACAACCAGTACTGAAGACACTGGACTACTCTACAACAATGAGAAAATGGAGACACAGAGGTGTCCAAATTCGATATTGGGGGAGGCGGGGAAGGAATCCTTCTGAACTCTCAAAAGTTTACTATGAGAATAAATAAGTTGTTCAGTGTTCTGTGATGTACTGTGGGTATGATTCGCTTCTGCCTCTTCCTGCCTTAGCACTGAAATCTCATTTGACAACTGAGTCTCAATTCTGTAGAAAACTGACTCCATGAATTGCTTTTTTTGTATTGGAATTTACCTTGATATATATGGACGTATACTTAAGTCATAGGACCTATGTTCTGCAATAAGTTGAATTTTTACACAATATTAAAATTCACCACTTCAGAAAATGGTGTCGAGTAAAATTCCTAGTTTAAATTTGAGGGGGGGTGTTGGGATTTAGCTCAGTGGTAGGTAGAGTGCTTGCCTAGCAAGCACAAGGCCCTGGGTTCAGTCCTCAACTCCTTTTAAAAAAAAAAAAAGACAAAAAAAAAAAAAAACTTGGGATAGGGTCTTGTTTTTGCTGAGGTTGTAACTCAGGATGCCCCCACTCTCAATTCTCCTGCCTCGGTGTACTGGGAATACAGGCACTTGGCACCAAGCCCAGCCTCACTGCAACTTTAAATGTAAAATATTCATAGATGAAAAAAGGCCAATATAACAGGAAAAAAGGGGTTTAGATAATAGCTTTTTAAAAAAGCTCATCAGATCAATACAACCACTGTCTGGCTAGTGGTGGTTACCAATGTAGAAATACAAGCTCTTGCACGCTGCTAGCAAGGGCAAATTGGAACTATAGCAGCTGTTAGACCATTTGCTATCAAACCAAGTGGCTTTTTTTTTTTAATCACATACATATAGGAGAGACCTGCAGAGGATTGTCACTAAGCAACAATTAGAAATAGACTAAATATCAAAACTGCTTCACAGCATAGTCTATACCACAGAAATACTATTCATTTACAGAAATTCCCCAAATCCCTACCAAGCCATGGTGAATCCCAAAACTAAGTTGTTTTTTAAAGCAGGATCTCGTGTGTCCTGGGCTAGCCTCAAACTTACTATGTTACTGAGAATGACCTTACATCCTGATGCTCTTGCCTCACTCCTGAGTACTGGGATTACAAGAATGTGCCACCATGTCCGGTTTACATGGTGCTAAGGGCTGAACCCAGGGCTTGTGCATGTGAGGAAAGCACTCTATAACTGAGCCACACCCCAGTCCTGAGACCAACTTTAAAAGCCAATGACAATTTGGGAGACGGGCAGGCATACCATTGTGAGTTCTGAGACTGATCTACAGAGAACACCTTAATAAAAAAAAAAAAAAAAATCCAATGACAAAGTCTAGCCTTCCAGTAACACCTATGAACTAACATGCACAATTAGCTATTCAGGGACATATGTATATTAAGTACAGGGGAAACTCTGAATGTCTTCTTACAGGAGAGCTGAGCAGAAAAATATTTCCTCTGCCTCAACCTTATCTGGAAGGGTGTTTACATTGTAACTCAAAATAAGTGTTTTCATTACAAAGTATTATCTGGATGACAAAGACTGAGGCATAAGCTACTCCAGTTGGCTGTTCCGTTCACGCTCCCCCTAGTGGTAGAAAAGTATCCCTACTCCTTTCTTCTGCTTGGTACCATGCAACACACTGAAGAGCTTGGAGGGGAGTGGAGGGGGAGGAGTCTCTCCCAGACCTGAAACCAGTGCATCACTTTATAGATCAGGGACTGGATTCAACAGTTGTGTTTGCTGCCAAACTGGGTTCCCAGTTCCCACATCAGGCAGCTGTGCTCAGATGCCAGTAACTCCAGCTATAAGGGATCCAATGCCCTCATCTGGCATGCTCTTTAAAAAATTACCTTGTCCGTTTTGATGTGTGGTGCTTGTTTGCTAGTTCCTCATGATAGTTTCAATGTTTAAATTATGTACAGTTTAATTTCAGATACTTAGCTTTGCTACTGGTCTCCATCAAGTGTCATCAGCATTGCTTTTGAAAACTTAGGCATTCTGTGTTCCATTTCACTGCTGATTCTGTAAGCCTGTAGTATTCTGTAATATCAGGTTCACAATGCTGTCTTGTTGGGTTGTCAGAGAATTGAGCACATTAACATTTAGCAAAGCTCAAAACATTTCCCTTTTTGTTTTTTTGAGACAGGGTTCCTCTGTGTAGTCCTGGCTGTCCTGGAACTCAAGAGATCCACCTGCCTCTGCCTCCCTGGGATTAAAGGCATATGCCATCACCTGGCAAAACATTTCTCATATACCTACTTTTTTGTTTTTTAAGCAGGGCTGGAGAGATAGCTTGGTGGTCAAGTGCACTTGCTGTTCCTGCAGAAGATCCAGATTCAGTTTTGAGCACCCACAACCATCTCTAACTGCAATTCCACGGAATCCATCACCAGCACCTGGTGCACTAAATTCATGTAGGCAAAACCCTTATACAGAGAAGTAAATAAACCTCTGTGCTGGAGATATGGCTCAGCAGTTAAGAACACTTGTTCTTGCAGATGACCCAGGTTCAGTTTCCCAGCACCCACACAGCAGCTCCCACCTACTAACTCGCCCTAGGGAGTTCAATGACCTCCACTGGCCACTGCAGGCACCAGGCATGCGTGTAGTGCAGACATAACAGCAAGCCTAACACTCACACACGTCAATCTTCTAATACAATTTCAGGCACATGTGTAAGTGAATGCCATGTATGCCAAGTGCCCACAGATTCCAGAAGAGGGTGTGCAACCCACCCACGCCCATCTCCCGCAACCACACACACATTTTAAATGCTCAGTATTAGCTGTGCCATTTTTATTCTTCAGCAAGATGGGGCTTAGGTGGGCTTATACTGAGTAGATGAAGACAGAATGAATTCTTTGTCTTGACTCTCTGAACCAGATGGGAGATAGCAAATTAAATCGTAAATGTATATAAGATATTGAAATGTTACTATTATCAAGACAAAATGTTTGAAAAGTTCTGGACTAGATAATCACAAGTATAATGGGGACCTGTTTTAGCACCAGAAAAATATTCACTCAAATTTTTATGTAGTATCAAGTTGAAAATGCTGAGTCCCTAGGTCTCTAGGACCACAGTTTAGTGAGAGGCAGATGTGACTAATGCTATTAAAAAAAACAAAAAACAAAAAGGCTCAATTTTAACTAGGTGGCACCTAGCCTCAACTGGACTACTGGACCTGTCCTCAGATCAAATACAGGTAAGTCCAGAATGGGAGCAGGAAACCTGCCACCAGGGGCAAAAGCACAGCAAAGGTCCAGAGAAAACCTTCCCATGAAACATGACCATCTTCCACATTGTACAACTAACTCCATTCATGACTTGCCTAAACTCAAGTTTGGTTTCTTCTCTACACACCACCATTGGCTGTTGCCACCATTACACAATTGTAATTCTTAAAAACTGTTTGAGCCTATATAACGGCTTGTCTCATGAGGAAGAGAACACCGGAATAGGTTAGACTTTCTTGCTATAGCAAGCTCAAATTGTGTCAGATAGTTTGTTCATCTGCCACAGAGTGTTGCTTGCAATTTTTAACACACTCAATAACCAACTTCTTTGGCACTTGTCTCCACACCTAACAGGAGTCCACTCGGCTAGAATTCCCTGCAATCCCTCATATTAAAGCAACCCCACTGAAATCTTCATTTTCATTAGAAAAGAACCCCTTAGAATGCCAACTTTCACCATCCCTGATGTAGCAGCACAATGGCACTTCATCACGGCTCCTCCAGACACACACCCGAGTAAGGTTTCCTATCACCTAGCTTTAAACTGTCACTTTAAACCATCCTTGCAGACATGACTAGACAAAAGTATGTATAAATTAAAAGCCAAATTATCTTATATCATATTAACACTACCTACAAAGCCCTAGAAATCACACGTTAAAAAAATTTCTAAATGCCTGGAGCCAAGTTACAACATACAAACTACATATATAGTACATCAGTTATTTGTGCTTTGAAATTCTTCAGTACACCATACATTAAGGAATTAAATAGGAAGTAGTTAATTTGGAGGGGAAAGTAATTCAAAAGAGCATGAAAGGTCCACTGTAGGAGACAAACACACTAACTTTAACCAAGACACTGACACTCTGAACGATGGAAATAGCTCTAAAAAGCACACCTAACCAATCTGCATACAAAATCTAATACCTGATTTTGAGCACACCAGTTTAAGTATGTAAACACCAAGAAATGAGAACACAGGGTTGGGGATTTAGCTCATTGGTAGAGCGCTTGCCTAGCAAGCGCAAGGCCCTGGGTTCGGTCCTCAGCTCTGAAAAAAAGACTCAGGTCATCAGGCTTGTGTGACAAAAAAACAAGAATTGAAAACACTTAAAACCCTCAACTCAGCCAATACTTCTTAACCTGGAAACGTTCTAGTTTAATGTGGGGGTGGGAGGTTGAGGAAGAAGTCACCATCTGGGGGTGTTGTTGCAACAAGATGGATGAGTCAAAAATGAGAAAGGCTGTTTCTTTACAGCCTCTCCCCCGTGAACTGCTGATTACAAAATGTTAGCGCTGCTCCCAAAATGAGACAGGACAATGAAGCTCAGTACAATCACCTTAGGTTAACTTCTGAAACCACTTGACATGTTACCCTGAAAGAAACCTGTCAAAAGGGGAGACACACCCAGTTATGTAGCTATTACGGATAGTCAACTTTGACTCTGGATAGTATAGAGAAAATATCCTCGGTGGATAGGAGAGCCTAAGAAGGAAGCCTTTCTGATACTCCTGAAGCTTCCTTCAAAGGCTTAGCAGATTACATACAGTATATATACCAAGCCCATTTGGTTCCATATATAACAGAATACCAAGTCATATTCTCCCCCAAATTAGTTTGAGTCTCCCCCCAAAAAAATATTAACATGCTTAGGATAAGGGTCATATGGGACAATTTTGGGGACATTCACTTTTTAGAACTGAAGGATATAAAACACACCTGGACAACCTGACACACTATGAACTAAAGACCAGGCTTATTCTGAAGTTGTACAAGCTTTCTTTCCATAAGCTCAGGGAAGGACTTTTACAGCATTCCACTCAATCCCCTTGCAACACCAATGCCTCTCAAACACCCTGAGACCAGAGTCACAAGCCTGTCTTCACAGGGCTGGGAATAACAGCTCAGTGACAAAGCATGTTCTGTGGAAGTGTGAGGGCTGAAGCTCAAACCTCCAGGATCCATGTAAAACAAATAAATGGTGGATGTGCTTGTGATTCTATCACTCAAGAGACCCCACGAGGAAGCTGGCTAGCTAAACTAGCGCTGGAATTGCCAAACTCTACCTAGGTTTAAGTGAGAGACCATGCCTTGGTATGTAAAGTTAGGTTAGGCATATACGGTAAAGAGTGATGGAGGAAAACACCGGTCAACCTCTAGCCTAAACACACCTACCCACAAAAAATACCAAGTAACATGACCTTCTGATTATATATATTATCTAAACACAAATGTGTATTTCAACATTGGAATTCTAAACTCTGAAACACCCCTGTGGTCCCACTCATTTTGTTTGCAGCAATACAGTGTTTGTTTAACAAAACAAAACCCCACAAAATGGAAACTAGGCAATGTAACTTCACCTAAGTCTTGCCACCAGACCTTATGGTTTCGATGGCTCTAATCGTCCATTCAAGTGGAAGAGAACCAAAAGTTAGGAAGAAAATAACCCAAAGGGACACATGTTTTTAAAAGGAGCTCTGGTAAAGTTTTATTAAAGAAAAACTTCCCTGGTTTACTTTTCACCAGTCTGTTCTGGCATGCTTCTAATAATATCAGAATCACCTAGAAAATAAAAATAATAGTTTTACAATTCATGTAATGGCAACTGACAGTCACAGAACATCCCTGGAGTGGCTGCCTGTTCTTTAGCTACGGAGGCAGATTAGCACTATCTTCAAATATTACAGTAGGTGCTGTCACTCTTAGAACCTCAGCCATCCTACAATCATACAGAACAATCACAATAAACCAGACCTGGCTTGTCACCAGCATTGAGAAAACCAGACCTAGGTAAAGAACCAGGCCTGGGGACACATGCATGGTCTTACTATAGCGAATGTCTAGCCTGTCCTGATTATCACAGAATCAGAACAGCGAGAATATTCGCAGTATTCTATGACTTCCAAGTGCAAAACACGGTGTATTTGTAGGCACTCAGCACAAACTGTTTATTCCCAAGCAACGAAGATTACTTTTTATTTCACCTGCTATTTCCACCTTCTAACAAACTATTAAGTGCCTCATTAAGGAAGTTCATAATCTCAAAGTTAAAAACTTTTTGTATTTAGGACAAAGCCAATTACAATGTACTGGCATGCATCAATTCTCTACAAAATAAAATTATGATACCTCTTGCAATATTAAAATTCTAATGGTCTGAACTCAGGCACCAAAGCCACTGTCTAGTAAGAAGCAGTAACATTAGAAAGTAACAAAATATTTTATGATTTAAAAAGCATACCTGGGTCAATGATAGCCAATGTGCATACTCTGTAGTATTTTCCACATGCTGTGCCCAATTCAATGTTATTGCCACTGTAGTGATGAACACCAGTTTTAGCCAACATGGCATAGTATTCTATTTCAGATTTCCTTTGGGAACAACAAAAAAGTCAAATAAATACCATATCAAAGTACTGATAGATGGTTACCATAGTAACCAGATCACTTCCAAGTGTAGCCTGCAAATTACCTACCGAATACTCAATTTGTTTAGGTAGTATTCAATTCTAAGTATGTTGTATTCATGTTTCAAATCACTAAAGTTTAAAATGTGTAAGGTACTTGAAAGGGGGGGGTTTACAGAACAATGAGGACATATCTAGGTTAGTAAGAGGTTGTAACAGACATTTAAAAAATGGCTGGGATAGATAGCTCCGCAAAAACCTGGTATTGCCTACAAAGACCCAAGGTCAGTTCCCAGCACCCAGACCAACCACCTCACAACTGCTGCTCCAGGGGATCTGGCACCCACTCCTGGATTCCCAAGGGCACATGCATTCACTCTCTCTCACAAACAATTACAAATAAACTTTAAAAAAAAAAAAAAAAAGTTTAACTTAGCAGTGTCTGAAACTTTAACAACAGGTATTATGTACTCCATTTTAACTAACAAAGAAACTAAGGCAAATAAAAGGGTAGGAAACTTAAAAAAAAAAAAAAAAAGTTAAGCCTTCTTAATCATCCACTAGCACCCTGAAGACTACCTAAGGATTGATACTATTACTTAAAGAGTAAGCACTTCAGTGCCAACTCAATGGACACAAATGGTTAGGATCTCAAAGTCCCACAGACCATCAAGGAGCTTCTAAGATGGAACCTGAACCCCATCCTGCCCCGGCCCCGAGTCTTAACAATGGATGTCTATACTGTCATTATAAAAGGTAGGTTAAAAATATAAAGAATAAAAATCCCCTATAAACTTGAAGGGTTTAGAATAAGACCAAACACTCCGAATTCTGCCACTAAGTATAGACCCTACCTCAACTGACACAGGAAAATCAATATTTTGCAAGTTTCTTTAGCTGATTTGCAATGCTTACTATGTTCTAGCTCAAGTAGTTAATTAAGAATAAACTTATGTTCAGAAAATTGGACACTGCTAAATGGATGGTCTTGTACCTTCACCTCCATAAACCAACCATACTTTCCTAAACTAAAACAGGCACATGCAATGGAGTGTAAAAATAAAAAAATAGGGAAGCGCAAAACAGAGAAAACATGCCCCCCGTGCTTCCCTGAACGTGTATGTTTGTGTCGCTCCTGTCACGCTGTGCTTCAAAGGTACGCTTACAGAAGAACACACGTCGGGGAGCAACAACCATCCTAACAACCACTCTTCCCAATGCTGGATATTCGCCCACAGTGAATTTACAGTCGGCCCCACACACTCGGGTTCCCTCCATTACCTCAAGGCTGGACAGTTGTTGGCGAGGATAACCAACTTCGCTTTGCCCTGTCTGATCATCTTCAGAGTCTGTTTGTACCCCAGCACGTACTTTCCACTTTTCATAACAAGCTGGAGCCGAGAGTTGATCGACTCCAGAGACTTTTTCTACAATGCAAACATTGGGGACTTGAAAACCAGGTGCAGCCGGCTCAAAACCAGTTCCAGACTGCTGGCACTGACCCCTCTAACAACGCCTGCAGCCTGGAGCGGCTCCGGCTTCGCTCCGAAGCCCTGAGCGGCTGACGCCCCGCGCTCCCACCATCCCGCCCCGGCCCCGGCCCCGGCCCCGGCCCGCTCTCCACGTGAGCCGGCTTCCGGCCCGGGCGCCTTCACTCACCGTCTTCTTTGCGGCCACCATCTTCCTGCCTCAGGTGCGGGACGGCCCCCAACCTAGCACACAGAGAGGGCAAAAGAGAGGATTAGGACCCGGGGCGCCAGCCGGGGGCTCCCCGCGCCGCCGAGACCCCCGCCCGGCAGAGCGCACTCACCACGACCAGCCGCCAAGATGGCCGGGCAGCGAGAAAGGAAGGGCCTCCCACAATGCAAAGCTCTTCTGGGCGAACGGGGGACGCTGGGCCCGGAAGCGGAAGCGGGTCACACGCGGAAGGGCCCTGGCTGGGCGCGGACCGCCGTTGCTATGGGAACTGGGTTAGTTTGGTGGCCCGGATGCTGCCTGGCTCTTGACTTGTGTCCGGAAGCTGCGGGCTGAGGCGGGGTAGCCGGGGTCGGATGGGAGCTGGCGACGCCGCGGAGTGTGAGGCAGCGGCCACCGGGGCCTGGCAGCTGCTGAGCTGTCTCTGGCGGATGTGGCGGCGAGAGGACCCGGGAGGACCCGGGAGGACCCCGGAGGACCCCGGACGCCGCTCTCCCCGCGCCTGCCCTTCGCGAGCGGACGCAGCTCCGTCCCCCCGCCGCCGGTGGTCCGGGTCGCCGTTCCGTAGACTTCCCCGGACGCCTAGCACAGGGACCGCGATAAACCGATCCAAGCTCGGCGAGGGGGCTCAGTGGGTAAATGCGCTTCCACCAAGTGGATGAACTGAGTTCGCGACCACGTGGGGGAAGGAGAGCCTCCTCCAGCAGTTCTCTGATCTGCGCCTGGACGCACACATTCGAATACAAAAGTAGAGAAGCAGCCTTAATAAAAAATATTTTTAAAATCTTATCGCTGTGAAACTTGGACCGTCGTATAAATGTAACATGAGATATTCAAGGGGGAAAAAAAGGCTGAAAGCCTCTTCTACTTTCTAGCACCAACAAACCCGGGGCTGTTGAGAGTGTGCGGTCGGTAAATGTGAGGACCTGAATTCTATGCCTAAACCTACCCACCCCAACGCCGCAGAGTCTGGCGTGTTTGTGCACGCTTGTAATTCCATTTCTGGAACATGGACAGATCCCTGAGGCTAGCTGGCCAGCCAACCTAGCCTAATCTCTAAGCCCCAGGTTCCAGTAAGAGACCCTCTGAAAAAAATAAGGTGGACGACTACCGAGGAAGCACACCTGAAATGGCCCATGGCCTCTGCCCAGCTGCACAAGCTTCCACACGAGCCAACATAAGCACACACACAAATAGGAAGATCAGGTTAGTAAGTAAGCTGCATGGTGTGTTACTTTGCCCTGGAGGTTGGGAGAGGGAAGAACATTAACACCCCCTCCACACACACCCGTAATAATTTGTTTTTGTTTTTTGAGACAGGGTTTCTCTGTGTAACAGCTCTGGCTGTCTTGGAACTACCTTTGTAGATCAGGCTGGCCTGGAACGCACAGAGATCCGCCTGCCTCTGCCTGGGATTAAAGGCTTTCGCCACCCTGACATAAAAATAATTTCAAGGGGCTGGAAAGATGGCTCAGAGGTTAAGAGCACTGACAGATCTTCCAGGAGTCCTGAATTCAATTCCCAGCAACCACGTGGTGGCTCAGAACCATCTAAATGAGATCTGGTGCCCTCTTCTGGTGTGCAGACATACATGCAAGTAGAACACTAGATACATAATAAATATTAAATAATAATAATAATAATTCTAAAAATATCCACCAGCCATGCAGTCCTGTTGGTCTATGCCTTTAATCCCAGGAGAGACAAGCAATCTCTGTAAATTGATCTTAAATAAAAATTTAAAAAAAGACGCTAGAAACTATATAACATTTATCTAGCCACCATATACTCACACACTATGAGATAGTAACCTTGTTATTCTCAAGTTTTTACAGCTAATGTAATGCAGAAACAGGTCTGTAAATTAGGTATTTTTACAATTAAAACTTACTCAACTCTTAGGGCCGATTTTGATGTGAATTTGACCAAACTGCAGTGTTAGATTACCATACTATTTGCTTTAATATTTAGGCAATGCCTTCTCCCAACCTCCAGGGCAAAGTAACACACAATGCAGCTTACTTACTAACCTGATCTTCCTTTGGTTTTGGTTTTGGTTTTTGGGGTTTTTTTTTTTGTTTTGGTTTGTTTTTTTGGTTTGTTTTTTTGTTTGTTTGTTTGTTTGTGCTTATGTTGGCTAGTGTGGAAGCTTGTGCAGTTGGGCAGAGGCCATGGGCCAATTTCAGGTGTGCTTCCTTGGTAGTCGTCCACCTTATTTTTTTCAGAGGGTCTCTTACTGGAACCTGGGGCTTAGAGATTAGGCTAGGTTGGCTGGCCAGCTAGCCTCAGGGATCTGTCCATGTTCCAGAAATGGAATTACAAGGTTATGCAAATCCAGATATTTGTCTTCTGTTATTCTAGTTCTGTAAACATACTAATCTTTAAATGAACTTTAAAACTAACAAATAGCTCATCTGAAAATTCAATGAAATAAGCCATTAGAGTTGTGACATCACTGGTTAAAATACCAGCATTCCCCCACCCCCTTTTTTTTTTAATCCTGTGCTTTTCTTTGCTTGTCTGTTTGGTTTGTGGTTGTCATGCTATTATAAGATGGAATGTCTGCTTAAGAGCACTTTGCATTACAGTTCTCTTCAGGTACAGTTTGGGAATGGAGTGTTGATATCCGATATCCTCCTGTTCATATTATACATTCAATTACGCATCTTTCTCCCACCTTACCCCATTCTCAAATATTCTTGGTAGATACTTGATTACAATGAACCACGATCAAAACTGACGTCATGCTAAGACACAGTATAACTCTAACTGCTGTGTGAAGAAACTTACAGACATCATGTACTCACCCCAAATGACATCGTGGACTACCTCCTTTATACTGCTGGTCCTTTAAGGTGCTTTCAGAATGACTGCGTTTGTATCTCAGTTGGTAGAGCACTTGCCTACCATGCACAAAGTTCTGGATGCGGTCCCCAGTACCACCTAAGACTGGGTGTGGTGATGCATGCTGTGTAACCACAGCACTTGGGATGGGGAGGAAGCCAGGTCATCCTCAGTCACATAGCAAGTTCAAGGCCCTCCTGAGACCTTATCTGAAAACATAAAGGTAGGATGGTTAGATAAAAAAAACATAATGGCTGTTCACAAATGTGCAGGCTTCGACACACTTAACAAACCTTAACTTATGGTCATGAAGATGCCGTAGGCCACATTAATCTTTTTATAGAGGACAAAACTAGAAAGAAAGTGATTAGTTTTCAAAGGTGAAGTAAGACCAGATATGGTCCCCATGCCTGTGACCCTAGCAATCAGGGATGAAGACAGGAGAGTCAGGAGTTCAAGGCCATGTTTGTGTGACAAGAAAATTCAAGGCCAGCCTGGACTACATAAGACCACCTGTCAAAAATAAGTTAGTCGGGACTGAACTCTGAAATATTAACTGTGGGGGCAGGGACAATAAAGCCTCAACAAGGACACTGGAAGCAAAACCAGGAGGATGGACAGGGGCAAGCATAGTCTGCTGGTAAACAGTTTTCATGAGAGGGAAGACCAGGCTGGCCTCGAACTCCCGGAGATCTGCCTGCCTCTGCCTCCCGAGTGCTGAGATTAAAGGTGTGCACCACCACGCCCAGCTCTGTGTTTGTTTGTTTGTTTGTTTGTTTGTTTTAAGGGCATTTGTTTTTACTGTGTCTATTTCAGCACTGTTTGAACTATTTTATAACATGTGTGCATTACTGATTGTCACATGAAAAGTTCTTTTTAAGTAATAAATTAGTCTTGTTTAGTATTGTATTTTCAAACTGGTGTCTTGTAAGACATTAGTTATGTAATAAGGCCCCAGACTTAATAGGCTCCCAGACCTAAGGACAACTGACTCCATCATGGAAGTACCATTCAGGCTGTGAAACTCAGCACCTAGACAGCACTATCTGCCAAAACTAAAACAAAGGTCTAATCTATCCATAGTTCTGGGAAAGTCTCAAAATGTACTAACCTTGCTTTTTGGTTTCTGTAGTTCTCTTTCTAGCTAACTGTTCTTGTTAACTGAAGTATGTCAACCCAGAACATGGTTTTTGTGCTTAAAAGCTCACCCTGAGAAAAACTCAGGGCTACACTGGGATCCCACACACCCAGTATAGTCACCAGATGGCTAATAAAGACTTTCTGTTGGCTTATGCCCATGTCCAAGAGTCTTTTCTGGTGGATACCCCCACAACAAGTTATATCACAAAATGTGGGCATTGGGATCACCTGGAGCTCTGATTCTTGGGCCTGTGTTGCCAATGGAAGAGACTTCAGGCTGTTGGGGCTGAGAATCAGGGTCTAACAAGCAGCTGAGATGACTCCTATAAATTCTAAATCTAAGAAGACCTAAAGAATGAGAGAGCCAAGGTGGTTCTGGGCATGCATCTCCAGATAGATCCCAACCAAACATAGTGATGCCTTAGTTTGCACTGAGTTCCATGTTAAGGCCAACTGACTCCAGCTCTCTTCCTTTTCCTAGTTAAACATAATGTTAGTCTCTAACCATGTGCCAAGTGAAGGGAAACTTGTTTTGTTGTTGTTGTTTTGACTTGTTCTTCCTCTATAACCTTGTAATTGACATAATTTGTTTTCATTGTTTCATATGTTCCAAGAATTGACTGACCATAAACTATTTCATGGTATGTTCTAATAACTATCTGACCATAACCCATAACACATACCCTTCCCATGATCGTATAAAGAGGCTCTCCTTCCTGTGTTTGGTTTTTGCCGCTTCATCCTCCTCCTATGGGATAATGTAAACATACTAATCTTTAAATGAACTTTAAAACCAACAAATAGCTCATCTGAAAATTCAATGAAATAAGCCATTAGAGTTGTGACATCACTGGTCAAAATACCAGCATTCCCCCCCCCCTTTTTTTTTTTTTAATTCAGCTACTGAATCCAGGTGGAGTTTATACAGGTGTTCATTGTCCAAGTCAACATTCTCTTACTTTAAAATCTCTGTGCTAGGAGTTTGGTGGCCCAAGGCTTAGCGCTCAGGAGGCAGAGGGGCAGAGGCAGGTGGGTCTGTGTGAGTTGAAGGCCAGCCTGGTCTACAGATCTAGTTCCAGGACAGCCAAAGCCACACAAAAAAACTCTGTCTCAAAACAAACAAACAAAAACCCAGAGCTCCACATTAGAAAGCTTTGTATGTGCTTTGAGAGGACTTTTGCCATCCAGATGTTACTACTCCTGAATGCTTCTTTGTATCTAGCATTTCAGTGTGATTTTGAGAGAATAACAACAGGTAA